GTTAAGGCCACGTACAATCATGGTCTTCTGTACAAACCTGGTAATACACATCTCACGGCATTTTCAGATGCTGATTATGCTGGGAATCCTGACACTCGGCATTCCACTGGAGGTTTCTGCATTTACTTAGGCTCCAATCTTGTGTCCTGGAGTTCTAAGAAACAAAAAACGGTGTCTCGCTCGAGTTCAGAAGCTGAGTACAGGCAGCTGGCTTACACTGCTGCGGAACTGTCATGGCTACGGTCACTTTTTCGTGATTTACAGTTACATCTTGTATGTCCAACGATTTGGTGTGACAATATATCGTCCATTGCCTTAGCTTCGAATCTAGTATTTCATTCGAGAACGAAGCATTTGGAAGTTGATTATCATTATGTTCGTGAGAAGGTGGTTCGTGGTCAGCTAATGGTGAATTATATTTGTTCCCAAGATCAGACAGCTGATTTGTTCACTAAAGGCTTGTCTGCTATGCGTTTCAAACTTCTAGTATCCAAGCTTCCAGTTGTATCTCCCCCTGTCAGCTTGCGGGGGGATGTTAGACCATGTCATAGTCCGCATATGGTTTCAAGAGTTTGTGATCAAGTCAAACTGTTATCCAACAAGAGTTAGTTTAGGTTAAGACTCTTTCAAATATTCCTTTCCGTGTAAATCCAAGTTTGATCTTTCTGTTGTATCTTTGATTTTCAAATCTCCTTGTAAATAGGGATTTCAGTTCCCTGATGTAATCTGGAATGCATTATAAATACATGCAGCCCATCACTGATTGGGTAATGCAATTGAAGTGAAACTGTGAGTGTTTGTAAGTTTTACAGGACCATCCTTTTCTCCTCACCCTCCCCCGATCACTCTCCCTCTCTTCCTGGCCCGCACTGGAGCACAGTCATTGTGCTTGCACCTCACCGACGAGTTTTCGACAGTGCAACTAAGGTAAGCCTCCTAAGATCCCCTTAGATCATGTTTTAGGTTAGTTTAGGGTGGTTTTGAGAACCTTGGTAACGTTTGAACGCATGAACAACTCATGGAAGCATTCTCCATTCTTTTTTACGAACCTCGTAAGTTGAAGACCATTTTCCGGCTAACTCCGGCCACCAAACGCCTTGAAATTGGTATGAATTTCTTCCTTGTTCGGCTTCATTTTGGTATATTGCACGACCTGTTTTGGTTACGTTTTGGGATTAAACGGAGCTTGGAAAGATCCGACTTTCCTCGTCTTCGAAACCAGCCTGGAAACGGGGCCAAGCCCGACCCAAAGACACTAACCCGGCCTAATCCTTGGGTCAAGCTATCCGGCCCAATCTCTTAATCCAGTAGCCCAGGTCCAAAACCCTAAACTCTAACACCTAAAGCCATTACCCATTAGCCCTATCTCGCCCCAACCCAAAACCCAAATAAGGAACCGGCCCATTAACTCAAACCCACCCCAAACCGGCCCAACCTAGGACCAAGCCCAACCAGGATGGAATATTCCATCATGGAATATTCCTGAAATATTCTCTAAAATATTTATGAAACATTTTCTTGAAAATATTCTTGGAATATTCTTTGTGCTGATTTTTTTGTTGATTTTTACGAAATTTGCTTGAGATCCTTCTTAGGTAATTCAACATTTCGAGTTCGTTTTCGACGTCTGTTTTCTCAAATTAAATTTTTTGAATAGAGTTTTATTAATTGGACCCTTCATGTGCTTAGGTGCATTTATTGTGGCGTTTCCGGCTTCGCTAGTTTGCGTGGCTATTCATCAGCGAATTATCTATGAGTGGACCCCTTCTAAAATACATGTTTTAATAGTAGAAATACATACATGAAAAACATGATTTAATGGTTACGTTTTATAAGCAAATTAGATTTACGCTTTATGATTATTATGGTTTACTGAGAATATTTTGAAAAACCATACTTTATTGAACTTCTGTTCTTTGTAGTATATATGATGGATGACTATATACTATTTAGAAACATGTTTTTACACTTCTTTGTAGTATATAGATGGATGACTATATATTATGAAGATGTTTTTGAGATATATATACGTATGTTGGAAAGATTATATTATATGTCATTTGCTCATTCAATTTTATATTATTTCTTTTTAGTATTCTAGTTAGTTATATCCTCTGAACATGTTCCTCATTTGCATATTAATTATATTTAAAATTTATAAGTCTTATTTATATTCTTTAGTTCTCATACATCTTAGTATAGTTTCGTTACCTTCGGATGTCGGCTAGCACGTACCTAATGTTCGAGGAATATCAGGACCAGACGTGTCAATAAGTATTTCCGATTTGGTTGTCGAACTCAAAGCTTTGTTTAAATGATAAGTCTCCTACTTGTGGTGGGACGAAGCGGTTGGTAATTGAACATGGAATAGGAACACATCATTGAACTGGTTCATATCTACTGTCTCTCTGGATAGTGCCATTTCCAACAGCCACTCATCTTGACAAGTCTCCTACTTGTGGTGGGACGAAGCGGTTGGTAATTGAACATGGAATAGGAACACATCATTGAACTGGTTCATATCTACTGTCTCTCTGGATAGTGCCATTTCCAACAGCCACTCATCTTGACATACGAATAATATATATATATATATAGCATATACTCTTTAGTGCCTAACCAAATTAAGAACTTAATCAAGCACACGCTTGAGGGAAATATATATATGTATATGTGTGTGTGTGTGTGTGTGTGTGACTAAATTGTGATTAGGGTTAAGGAAAAAATCCTATCAACCATTCTAATCAGATGAATAAACTGATTTGTTTTTATCCTAAATGAGTGTAATCTTAAGCTGAACCAAAGCATACCATAATTATTGTGGTTCGACTGAAATTGGTCCTTTAAAATGAATGAGGATCCTTTTTAGATCCTTATTGTGAGGAGTCTGATGATCATTAAATCGTGTCTGTTCATTGTACATCGTACAATCAGAAATTATTTTAAATTAAATATAAATAGTATCTGACGAAAACTGATCGTACGATATACGATGAACGAACACGATTTGCGGATCCTCCTTGTGGTTTTAAAATTACATAAGCTTAATTATTTATTATATTTTTCGAAATTTGTTATTAGTAGTTGTCCTGAAGGAATTCGATCTTTTTACTAGGTCGGTTTTACTTTAGTTCGATTATGCTAATAGTGCGAGCCTAAACGAAACAAAACCGGATGACAATATTATTACATTAGTTCGTAGTAAAACTACAGTAATACTAAGGGTGAAGCTATATAAACTATATATGCATAAACCATATGTTGTAGATTACAGCGCGATTGATGGTTGCATTTTTCTTAATAAGGAATCCAATTATTAAACGCGGCATTACGTGGTTCATAAAAAAAGTTTAGAAACATGGTCTCTCTATATTTTCCAAATGCTAAACCAAAACCTGAACCATGGTCTCTCTATATTTTCCAAATGCTAAACCAAAACCTGAACCCTAAACACCTATTGCGTCAGCTGAACCCTAAACACCTATTGCGTCAGCTGAACCCTAAACACCTATTGTGTCAGCTGAACCCTAAACACTTTAGCCACTATTCGGGAGGCTGGCTAGGGCCTAGCGTCTAGACTGGTAGGTGGGCGCTTAGGTGGATTAGGCGGATTTGAGTAAATCTATTATATTTTATTTAAATAAGTGTCTGCTTATACTTCAAATATTTATAATTTCATCATAAACTACAAAATAAAATGACATATATATTATAAAGTATTGAAACATAATGAAAACATAGGGAACAAGCATTTAATGTGTGTTCATTTAAGTATGCAACAAGTCTCTTACAATTTATTAAAAACATAAAACGCAAAATGAAAGTTATCTATTTTCTGTCTAAGTGAGTCGCAACCTAAGCGAGTGCATAGGCGGGTTTGGACGGGCTAAACAGGTGCCAAGGCGATCTAAGTGGGCACCTCAGCAGGTTTAGGTGCATTTTCTTAATTTTTAAACGTCTAAGCATGAATCTGGACGGTGACCAACCGTCTAGACAAGAATTTTTAGAACAGTATGCGTCAACCCTTACTATGTACACAGAAATTGAAGCTTGAAAACACAAAAATACCCTTATGTCTGCATCTCAATTGCGAATGCGGAAGTTTGTCTTCTTCTCAATTGCGAATGCGGAAGTCTGGAAGAGTACGCTAGAAAAATTAAAATTCCTGACATGCAATGCATCTGCTCTACCTAAAACCCTAAAAACAATACCCAAACACCTGCAACGTACACAGAATTTGAAGCTTCAAGACACAAAAATGCCCTTATCTCTTCTTTTCCATTGTGAATGTGGAAGTCTGGAAGAGCACGCTAGAAAAATTAAAATTTCTAACATGCAATGCATCTGCTCTACCTAAAATCCTAAAAACAATATCGAAACACCTGCAACGTTATATATATATATATATATATATATATATAGAAAACTTTTAAGGAAAGAGATCTCATATTTTCATAAGAATTGGAATTAGTTGTGGGGTCCACATCACATCAAACTTTAACGATCCGAACTGTCTATTGTTCAAGTTGCACCTCATAAATCATCCTTGTAAAATATTAGCCAAATCGGAAATGTTTAAGGTATATAATTAAGTTTTAAAAAATTACCAAATACTTTGTTATATAAGAAACAATAAAATGTTATCTTGATCATTAAATAGGCAAATAGTTTCAGATTGAATTAAATTTTTGCAAGGATGATTTATGAATCAAAACTTAAAAAATAAACGGTTTGGATCATTGAAATTCGATGTGAAGTGAGCTCCACACCTAATCCCTATTTGCTTTTTGGCACCACTCTAGCATAATCATTTCAATATTTAACTACTAGAAATTTGGCTAAAAGACACCCTTTTCATTGGTGTCTATTGTCAATTGTGGATACTCTCATTGGTGGCAAACCTCAATGGCCACCAAGCAGCCACTAAATTAGAGAACATGTCCTATGTAGAGCACTTTATTGTAACAAACACCACCAATTAGATAACGGTGGCACAATGAATAGTTACACCTTTGAAATATTATATACTTTTTATACATTGGTGGCCATGTTGTAATATGTTTTTAAAAAAAAAAACAAGGGCCATTAATCTAGACTATATATATAGTTAATAGACTACACAGAATTGCAGTTTTGCTAAACACATATTCAAAAAAATCAGATCTAAAACCAATGAGCTATACTAAAAAATATGAAACTATCCGTCAAAGTACGAAACAGGCACCAAATTTGAAGGAAATTGCCACTTAAAAGACTTCACATTTTCTTGAACACCTCCAAACATGTTTTTTAATAATGACGTGCTCATCGTAATGCTTGAGCCTTAGTAATTGCTATCTCTACCTGCAAACACATAAGCACATAGATCAAATGACTAAAATACACACAAAAGTATGCCTTTACAGTTTTATTGTTTCCTACAACCTGCATAAAAAGCATATACTTGCGAGTATGAGTCTCTAACATTCCACACGAAAAACTGATGTGGCAAGTAGATCAATTTTTCAGCAGATAAATTCATGAGTCTCAACATTTCACAAGTGATATACTTGCGAGTAGATAAATTTTCGATCAGCGGATATGGTTATCAATTATGACATCACAAAAACATTCTAAAGTTAAGACTCACTATTTTGAAGTAGTGGCTTGATGTTATCAATTTACATCAAAGTGAACCATTTATTTAATGTTTGGGTCTTAATATATTACAAATTCAACATCAACACAAGCACCAACAAATTTCAATTTGTTTTCATTTCTTTTTATTCCTTTTTGTTCAACCCAATCAACTTCCTTGAGAAATAAAACAAAAGGTAAAGAGAGAAAGAGAGAGTTCCCAATCTAACTCAACTTCGCCTTTGGAAACTAGGCACTGGAAATAGAGATGGACTTGCTGAATATTGATAGACTTGGTGGCTCTGAAAACTAAGTACTAAGATAAATTTGTTAAGTAATTTTATCATGCTCAGGTTTTTTTTTTTTTTTTAAGGACAAAATAATCACCCAAAATTAAAAGCAATTGAGAGCGAGATTGAGATAGAAAGACACAGATGTTACACTTTTATCGTATGAAATACAACATGATATGTATACTCTTAACTGGAAGATTGAAAACAATGCTATAACCAAAACTGAAGAGAATAGTAATGTCACATAATGGGGAGAAAAAGAAGGAAAAGAACATACCTTCTAGCTTCACCAAGTATACTCTTAAGGTTCTCCACGTAGTGATCGTCAGGTAGGTTCTCTACCAAAATAGTGCACTATAATGCACAAATTAGATGCTTGAAGTTTCCGAAAAATAATACTTAAAAAAATTAAAATCAAGTTCGAAAGGATACCTTTGGATCCCTGTTTTCAGTTAATGGAAGGGGATGAATCTGTTACACTTTTCCATTCGAACTCACAACCTACAAGAAAGAGATGTATGCTTATCTTTAGCATATTTGTCATTCAACTTGCACTTAATTCTATAATAGAGAACAAACTTAGAACATTACAAGGAGGGAAGACTCCCTCAATGCAGTCCCTATTGACAAATTGTTTCAGACGAGCTTTTTCATTTTTCTAAAAAAAGCAACAACTGAAATTGGAATTGCAAAAAGAATTGGCAATAGTTAGTGAAAACTGTTAATATGACAGTGTGAAGAAAAGGTGGTGCACAAGAAGTAATATTGTTATAGATAAAAAAATAATAATAATAAATAACTAGAACTTACTGATCTAAAAGATTCAAGATTGGGAGCTTCATCTTTAACTATAATATCAATTACATTGTGGTTAAGGAGAAAATCACCCTGTTCACCTTAGTTTTTTTTAGAAGAACCATGTTCACCTTAGTTTCACTCACAACATTCCAAGGCTTCCATTCTTCTCGGCCCAGGTTGGAAACAACCTTGGTTAACCTTCTTCGTCCTCAATCTTCGACATGCATAGAGAAAATGGAATTAAAATTCGAAATCTAGAATCGATCCAAAAACTAAAAGTTTTTATTTTGAGAAATCACTTACAGTAGGGAACAGCCACGAGGAGATGATCATTTTTACCTCTTGGGTTAAGGTCCAATTCCGGAAAACTTCGCCGAAAATTGGCCGGAAAACCCGCGGTCACCGTTTCTTAGATCTGAAATTCAGAAAATTCGGCTACGAATTTGTAGAAACTAACTTAAGGGTTGGAAAGAGGAAGGGAAGAGGCTTCTGGAGGTATAATTTGATGGTCATTGGTGACCGGAGGACGGAGGCGTTGCTGCATGAAAGAGAAGAGGTAGAGAGAGGATACAGGAAGGAGGAGAGAGAGAATGAAGGGGGAAGCGAGCGGAGAGAATGAAAGGGAGGAGTTGGACTTTTGTGAAGGGGAGAGATGTTCATTGTTTTTTTTATTTGTTTTTTTGGTGCCCAATAAATTCTATTGGTGACCCATTTAATCACAAATGCACATAAAGATGGCAATGGGGCGGATCAGATTCAGATGTGCCATCCCTATACCTGAACCCGTTTATTTTTCCCAAACCCGAAACCGTAGAATCCCCGAACGGGTTTTCCCCATAACCGAACCCATTGAGTAATGAATTTTCTATCGAGCAATGGTTTTTCCCATTATAATATTTTTATATTTTTATATTATTAATTAAATAGTAAATTTTAAATAAAAAATTAAATAGATTACTGATATAATGCATATACAGCATACATTAAATAAGATTAAATATTAAATACTAAATAGTGTTATTAATACAATTGATACAAACAATGCATGTGATAAATATTGTTAAAAATGAGATTAATACTATTAATAATTGATAAGAATATAATTTATATTATTAATGATTATTGATAACTCTCTTCTCTATATAATAAATATTGATATTTTTTTATTAATTCAAAACAGTTCGGTTTCGAGTATGGGTTCAGGGCGGATAGCCTAATAACCATAACCAAACTCAAAACCGAAAAGTTTACCTGACGGTTAACCATAATTGTAAAATACCCGAAATTTAATCCCCAAAATCAAACCGTTCGGATCGGTTACCTATAGAGAACGGGTTTGACGGGTCAAATTGCCATCCCTAAATGCACAAGAAATTATTTTTTAAGAAATAAAGCTATTTAACAGCCACCAATTATTGGTGTCTCAATGTTGAAGGCTACCCATATCAGTGGCATTCCACTGTAAAGACACCAAAAAATAGTAAGAGTGCTTTATATCTATGGCATTGGCTACCAATTGCAAATGGTGTGTAAAAAATGGTGTCCTATAAACATAATTCTAGTAGTGTTTGTTGAGTCACATTCCCTTCGGGTCTGGCTCTGAGAATTATAAGTCAATAAGATCAATGATTCAAACTGAATTTTATGAGTACTGTTTCAATATGTGATATTATCTGGAAGCAGTTACTATCCTACAGTCAATGTGAATAGGAATATCACAGTAACTGTGAACATGAATTTATGGTTCGGTGAAAAGTAATTAAGCTGCAGTTGGTTTCATCATTAGAGATGCAAATGGAAGACCTGTTCTTGCGCTGAGTAGGAAACTTGGCAATGTTTATGTGCCTATTGCAAAAGGATTATCAGATTAATTTTCTATTTTGAAGAATTTGACGGATATTTTTGTTGAGTAATTATGTGGTTTTCACCTTTGTGTGATGAGTTTTGTGATCTCGTCTTTTAACAATGATGTTATATAGTCTCTCTTCTCTGTCATAACTTTATGTGACCTCACTATTCAGCAATGACCGGTGTGTTCGCCGATGCAGATTTGTCACGTCTATCATATTTTGCACCAGGTTTGTATAGGTGGCGTCTGTAGTTTTGTGCATGTGATAGTTGTTTAAGTTTAGGGGTGTGATATCTACACACCCCATTTTACTTCTCACACACCTTTTTAATTTTCAGCCGTCAGATCAGATTGAATTGAAGAAGATCAACGGACAGAAATTATCAAGGGGTGTGTGAGAAGTAAAATGAGGTGTGTGGATAGCACATCCCTAAGTTTATTCTTGTTGTTTGTTTGCACAAATTCACATCAGATCAATTTCTTGGTTACTTGAGCAATATTGTACCCAATTAGCACTCTATATTTGTTTTTGGAGACAATAAATGAAATACCGCTCTATTGTTTCTTGTGTGTGTGTGTGAAGCCTTTAAGGGAATGAATCTCTATTTTTTTTTTTTTTTGTAAAAATGGAGATTAGTTGTGGGGTCCACACCACATCAAACTTTAACGATCTAAACCGTATATTTCTCAAGTTGCACCTTGTAGATCATCGTTATAAAATATTAGCTAAATTGGAAATATTTAAGATATCTAATTTGGTTCAAAGAAATTAACAAATACTTTGTTATATAAGAAACAATAAAATTTTATCTTGATAATTAAATAGGTAAATGGAGGTTGCACTTGGTGCGATGGCAAGTGCCTTCGCCCATGAGCGGTAGGTCTCGGGTTCGAGACTTGGGAGCAGCCTCTCCATAAATGGGGGTAAGGCTAGCCGACATTCACCTCTCCCAGACCCTGTGTAAAGCGGGAGCCTTGTGCACTGGGTACGACAAAATTAAATAGGTAAATGGTTTCGAATTGAATTGAATTTTTGTAAGGATGATCTATGAATCGAGACTTACAAAATAGACGATTCGGATCATTGAAGTTCGATGTGAAGTGAGTCCCACACCAAATTCTCAATTTAAAAAAAAAAATAGAGATCCCTTGCATAAAGAGCTTGTATACATCTGCGTCCAGAAAAAATGTGCACCACCTTTGAGATTGGAAATAATTATTGAAGATGGAAGCTCCAGAACTCGTTCGCCAGTATTTCTTTGAAGATGTTCTGAAGGAAGTAATTTTTTTTTTTTTTTTGGTAAACCGATGGAAGTAAACTTTGTGCCCGACTATCACTAACATTGGTCACTCCTTGGGTGAAACTTATGCTTGGGACCATACCAGTCCTACCTCTGTTCGATATACACTTCCTCTTTATCGTATTATATGGGTTGTGTAAGAGGTTTTAACACCTATTCACTGTTCTATTTCTCTTTCAGCATCTTAAAAATGGCATTAACTAGAATTGTTAAGGATTTTTTATTTATATATTTTTATGTTCTAAGTTGAAGAACGCGTTTATGAGGTTTTGTAGTTCTAGCAGTTAAGTGTAGTTACTCATGCACACATGTTTAAATCGTACAAAGTTAAACATTACAACTTCAAACAATCCATTTTATCTTTTGTTTTCTTATGTTGCACTTCTCTTTTTGTATATATTTGAATCAAACTTGGCGATTGATGCATGGTCTTATGTTTGATTTTCAATTGCCTATGTTAAAGACCACGTTAAAAGTTTTCGATTCCGCACTTAAGTTGCTTACTAAGAGATAGTAACTTTCATGACAAGGATACACTGACACGGAACGTCACAATAACAATGTACTTGTGTCATGAAAGTTCTTCTCATATCTAGTTTAAAACTTGTATAGAGTGTAGATTTCGTGTCTAGGGAAGTATAAATCTTCAATAAAGATCTTCAAATACATGAAGCTATAGAAAATAATAATAAAAAAGAGGAAAATTTCTATGAACATAAGGAGTCTTCTTCCGAAGGGGTGCAGACGTGGCCATGTTGGTGAGTTCACCAACGAATCCGGATCCTCTTTGTGAGGATCTTAAGAATTTGTGAATCGTGTTCGTTCATTGTATATCGTGCGGTTAAAAATTATTTTAAATATTTTTATTTAAAATTAAATACAAACAATACTTGACAAAAACTGATCACACAATGTACGATGAATAGATACAATTTACGGATCCCCACTTACCAAAAGGATCCAGAGAGGATTCTGTTGGTTCACCAACATTTAAGTACCATATGGGTGACCAACTTATCTTCCTCACTTCTCACGACCACCAAACTGCTTTAATATGCTTCTTGTTTGCCTATAAATAAGTGGTCACCAAGTGCTTCATGCCCACATAACGTAAGCCTTTGATTATTCCCAGACTCCACATTTCTAGCTGTGATGGCTCCAACCTCCATCCATCTATCAAGGAACAAGAAAAGAAATAAAGGCTTTATTCTCTACTTTTATTCATGTATTTCTTTACACTGGTACACTTGAATTATGTAATCTTATAAATCATGAAAGAATTCACAAAACATGCAATCTTCAACAATCATCTTGCATTTCCTATAAAGCTGTTTTTTTATTTTGTCCCTTGATTCTCTATTAACTTATTCAATTCAAAAATTAAGATAACGGGGACAGTATGAGGTGAAAAGAAGATCGACAATCACCACAAGAGAAAGTGAATTTCGCATACTCCTATCTCCCCATGTGCATTCCTATTTGTTGTAAGAAACAATTTCCTCACATTTCTTTTCACCTATCCTCGACTGTGATTTATTCAATCAAAAGGCTAAACTTAACAAGAACGTGCAAGAGGAAAAAAAAAAAAATGTGAAAATCCTGTTTCTATTATTTTGGACTGAATAACTTAAAAAAGAATCGAGAAACAAAAACAAGAGGATGAGCGTAAAAAATACCGGGAGTATAACTTACTAACTCTATAATAGTAGTGCACAAGCGCTAAACACTTAATACGACACTAACCACACATTCATACGTACTTTTATTATCAAATTTTTTTCTCTCACAATTAACACTAACAAAGTTGCAGATGAAAATAAAATCCTTTGTCAAATGAGAAATAAATACCCACCAGAGACTACAAACGGTGTAAAATGCTACTGCACAGTCAATCCCTCACTATGATTACATTCATGTTCAGCCTCCAATACCATTCAAAAGGAAAAAGCTATAAAATTGTGAAATTGGAGAACTCAGTTTCAAATTAGGATAAACGACACGAGGAAGGTTAGAGCCGAAGAAGACAGCCTCCAGTAAATTCAGCATGCCGATACAACATCTAGTAATCCATGCCTCCCATGCCTCCCATGCCTCCTCCCATTGCAGGGGTTTCCTTCTCGTCCTTCGGAAGCTCGACCACAACTGCCTCGGTAGTGGTCATCAACGAGGAAACACTGCAACAGCGAGACAAATTTCAGATCTTTGCTTTAAGAATGTCATTTAAAAAAAAAAAACAAGGAAAATCACAAGGCGCTTCAAAGCTTTATATGGATTACCTTGCAGCATCCACCAAGGCGGTTCTAATGACTTTCAATGGGTCGATGATCCCTGCCTTTATCATGTCAACATATTCACCTGAAAGGAGTAGAGAACGAATAAATCCTTCTACATATTTTTACAGTACTAGACACAGGTGAAGCCACCAGTCATCATGTTAGTTCGATGGTTAAAAAGAACCAACCTTTAGCTGCATCGTATCCAAGGTCAGGATTGTCCTGCTCTAGTAGTTTGCCAACGACAACAGCCCCCTCGACTCCAGCATTAGAAGCGATTGTGGATACAGGCATCTAAAAGATAATGAAACCAAATGATAACATTAAAATGTATATGATCCATTAGCACTTGATTACTTAGCTTTGTGTATTTTTTAATTGATAATCTGAAAGCATTTGGAATTCCTAATTTATGAAACTATTGAAGACTAGGTTGACATTTCATATTTTCCCCTTACTTAAAGGACTTCTTGCTAGTCCGAGCATGACTAGCATGAAGCTTAAAGCTACACTAAGTTTATTTGAATGACAAAAAGACCCCAAGAGAATGAGAAATATACAAGATAACTGTTTTTTATTGATACCTTTAGAGCATTCTGAATTATTTGAACACCGATCTTTTGATCAAAGTTCGCAGTCACCAGCTTGTCCAGCTCTTTTGAGGCATATAGAAGGGCGGCATATAGAAGGGCGGCACCACCACCTGCACATTGCAAGCTATTAATTACCATAAGATAACACAATTCAAACAAGACGAGCCAAATGCATTTCTAGAAGACAACTTACCGGCTACAATTCCTTCCTCTACAGCAGCCTTGGTAGCGTTTAGAGCATCAGTTACTCTATCCTTCTTTTCACTAACTTCCGCTTCGCTAGCTCCACCAATCTACAGAGTAAATCTCAATCAGACTTGTTTTCAGTAGAAACAGTGTATAAGACATTTTAGAAATTAGATCTGTCACCCTAGACTCCAGACTAATAGAAGGGACAGAAAACAGTTGACAATTTTCAGAAGGGAAATTAACCTTTAAGACGGCAACACCACCAGAAAGCTTTGCAAGGCGCTCTTGTAACTTCTCTTTGTCATAATCAGAAGTGCTCAATTCAATTGATGATCTCAGCTGTCACAACAATCAAAGTCCACACATCACGTTAACAAACACAACGAAACACAAAATAGTTGTTTGAAGAGATTAAACAAAGAGAACTAGCAAAAAAACCTGTTCACATCTTTCTTCAATGGCTTTCTTGTCACCAGCCCCATCAAGAATGACTGTGTCATCTTTTGATACCGTAATCTACAATACCAAGACCATGCAAGTCATTGAACATTTCAACTTATTTAGAGCAGAAACTGAGACACCAAGATTAGGAACATATGCTAATACACATTTGAAATATCTCACCCTTTTGCATGTTCCCAGTGTTTCTATTCCCACTTTTTCGATGTTCAGACCAAGCTCCTCAGTTATTACCTAGAAACGCAAAGAAAAAGAAAACAACGTGGTTCACTTGTCAGCCTCCTAATAATGTAAACTTTTGGAGGAGAAGTGAAGAATACATATCAAGTTACCTGGGCTCCCGTAAGAACAGCTAGGTCCTGCAAATTTGCCTTCCTGTTTTCTCCAAATCCAGGGGCTTTAATTGCACAAACCTTCAAGCCATCAGAAGAATCATATCAGGACAATGAAGTATATATAGACAATCAACACTTCTAATATCAGATGCATAATCAGTATATAATATAAAATACAAGCATCACCTTAATTCCAGCACGAAGCTTGTTTATAATGAGCGTTGCAAGTGCTTCACTTTCCACATCTTCAGCAACAATTACAAGAGGTCTTTGTTTCTGAGAACACACATCAAATCAGGCAACATTCACAAGATTCCAACAATACCACCAAAGAAACCCTTACCTGCAAGGCCAGCTCTAATATTTTAACTATAGAATTTAAATTTGAGAGTTTCTTCTCATGGATTAGGACGAGTGGATCTTCTAATTCCTGTAAAAATAAAATGTCTAGTGAGTAATCATGATAAAGCCGTTTGAAAAGAGTGTGATAATTACCATGAAACTAGAACAGTGACAAATAATGATAAACTGCCTACACATTTTTGGTTCTTTGGATTGGTGATGAAGTAGGGGGATATGTAGCCCCTATCCAGCTTCATTCCTTCAACGACCTCCAATTCATTATACAGTGTTTTTCCATCCTGAAATAATTCAACAGGCAAACAAAATTAGAATCAGATTATGTAGAGAATGCGAAAGCTCCAATGTTGCTACCACATATCATAATATGATACTACTGACAGAAAATTATAGGAAACAGGGAAAGATTCTAAGAAAGCAACTTACAGAAATGGTAATAACACCCTCTTTGCCAACTTTCTCCATAGCTTTAGCTATGAGCTCACCAATTTCTCTCTCTCCGTTTGCTGATATTGTACCAACCTGTTCAAAGGAAAAGAATTCATATGAGCAACAAAGTCATTACCATAAATTTAGACATTCATATTACTTCTCTCAATTGTCAAATTAAAACAAAGCAAACCTGAGCTATTTCTTCAGATGTGCTGATCATCCTAGCTCTACTCTTCAAGTTTGCAACAACAGAATCAACTGCCATTGAAATGCCTCGTCTTAGGTCCATAGCATTCATTCCAGCCGCCACTGACTTGCATCCTTCAGTAAATATAGCACGAGTAAGGACTGTAGCACAAGTGGTACCTGCAAACACAAATAACAACATTTACATCACTATCTTCGCAATCAGCCAAGATTTTACAAACAGTTGTACAGAAAATGTAAAGAACACTCACCATCTCCTGCTGCATCGTTTGTAGCATTGGCGACCTGCTTTACAAGACTAGCACCAATGTTCTTCACTTTATCTTTGAACTCAATACTCTTTGCTACAGTGACACCATCCTTTGTCACTTTAGGGGCACCAAAGCTTTGTTCCAGAACAACATTGCGCCCCTATCAAAAATCAAGCATGAACAACAACCATCATAATATGTCAGATGGAATTGAAGACTGAGGGAACAAAGAAACAAACTCAATTCACTACTTACAATTGCAGGAATTACCAAAATGAATAAACAAAATACGATATCCAACAAATCTCAGAGTTTATTAAACTACGAATACGGAAGTGAAACGGAACTACACCCATAGATCAGCAAGAGTTAAACATATGAATATGAGAACTCAACGCAAAAAATTACTACCAATATACAGATTGTTGTTCCAAACATAGCCAGAATGCAATCAACCAATATAAACAAATCAAGAATGAAAAAGTCACTTACTTTCGGCCCCATTGTGACTTTGACAGCATCAGCGAGCTCTTCCACACCCCTAAGCATCCCGGCCCGGGCTTCAACACCGAATCTGATTTCTTTCGCTGCATAGTTCCTTCTCGAAATCAATTTACTGCCAATCTGAACAGTAAGGAAAACAAAACCCCACATCAAAACACAATTAAGCAATAAAAAATCTCAACTTCAAATAGATAAGGAAGAACAAGTACCTGTTGAGAACTGTTCCTAGCCAACCTGCAACCACAAAGCAATGAAAAATCAGAAAATGAGAGCGACCCAGATGAGAAAACAATCAAAGACGGTGACTTTTGCGGACAAGTTCGAATTTGACAGAGGCAAAAGATGGGAGTACATACCTGGCTTTGGAGGCAAGGTTAGTGGCGAAGCGATACATGATTGATGAAGTTGCAGAGCACCTTAGAGAGAGAAAGAAGGTGGGCAATCAGGAAAAGGCGAGGTGAGAGAGAGAGAGAGAGAGAGAGAGAGAGAGGGAGAGAGCAGGAGAGTAAAATGTGCAGCAGAGAAGGGTCTAGAAGCATTTGGTTTATGTTAGGGTTTAGGGTTTTGGGGACGGCAAGGTCCAGTTACTTTTGCTGAAAGCCACGGACCCTGGTGGGCCTTCTAAGCAGGCCTGTTTGCCTGAGTTTTCGTTTTCTTTTCAATTCATACAAATATATATAAACTAGAAAACCAAATCTTACCGTTAAAATTATAATTGTATTAGATACATAATCAAATCATCATTTTAATACTTTTTCAATATATAATGTGATAACAAAAGTCACCGGTCTTGTGATTGATGAGAATGCTCCTATGACACTCAGGGAAATCCAAGTTCAAGTTTGGGTTAGACATTAAATGCGAACGAAACGTAGTTTTGTGGATCTCGCTTAACTGAGAAGACACCTCAACAGGACATGCATGTAGGATACGCGTAATTCCGCAACATAATGAATTTATTAGGGGTGGTTTGGGAGTGAGGTGCTTAAAAAAAAAGCACCCATGAAAAAAAGCTGTAAGGGTTTTAGGTGTTTGGTAAACTGAAAAAAAAAGGCTTATTTTGGAAGCTACTTTGAGAATAAGCTGAAATCAAAGGAAAAAACTGAAGCTGCTATTTGCAGCTTTGGAAAACTAGTTTTTTATTCAAAGCACACGAAGCTATAGTGCTCATTTAATGAAAAGACTCACAATTAGACTGCTTTTTTTTTCCAAAAGCACTTTTACAAAAAAATTTACCAAACACTCTGCTGATTTATTTCATAGCCGCTTATTCTCACAGCAGCTTTTTTTTAAAGCATAGCAATACCAAACCAGCCCTTAGCCCAACAAAACTAGAGAAGGAATAACCTCGTGCCAATGATATAACAGTCTCTATTATCGTGAACTAGGCCACAATATTTGATGTATTCAAGAGGCTTCCCTAAAGGAGACTCTTAATCGTTGCCCCTCTATCACATCTCCTTAATTGGCTTAATGGGCGTTAATAGAGGCTCAAACCAACCAATTAATAACAGTTAGCTACTCGTGCCTCGTAGAATCGTCTTCAAACTCATGTTTAATACTATATAAAGGAATGACCATCAACCAAGGAAAGATAATTGTTCATCTACCAATAAACTTAGAGCTTTCAAATTTATTTCATCCACTAAGTCTAACGTAGGCTTCGGAACTCACACCATACCAATGTAACAAAAATTAACTTGTCTTTATATTTCTTAATTGCATAATTATTAATTTATTAGAGTAATTTTACGCTTGCGTGAAGTTTGTTCACCACGTACTATTCATTCAGTTTTGATGTAAGTTCTTATTCTTCTTTATTTCTTCTGAGTTCTGGTACAAAATATCACACTTCTCTTTTCAAATTGTAAGACTTTTTGTATGGCATAATATCTTAATTTATCAATTTTCAACTGCCAATTAAATTGACTCGGTGTAAGTTAGAGTTGCAAAATTAGTACTTCAGTGCAGTTATATAAGCAATAAAGAATGAGAGTTTTAACGAAACATTTCCGGTACTGTTCATTTTTAACGAAAAACCACATTTTTACCTTTTCCTGCTATTATTTACTATACTTTTATTTGTCCATTTTCTTTAAAACTAAAGTTTTTTTGAATTTTTCGTTAATTTTCTTTAAAGAAAAGAAGTACACATTCTTTAAAGCTTGATTTGACATGTCATATTAAACACCAACTTGAAAATTCGTCAACTTTACAAATCGTGAGGGTTTAAGCCCCTCTATTCCCAAAACGACCCGTTGATTCTCTAATTATTTTATTTATTTTAATTTTATCATTTTGTTAGCAAATCAAATCAAAATTCGTTTTATTTATCATTCATTATCTCCCCTTTTTTTAGCAATTTGAAAGAAAAAAAAATGGAGACAATAGCAAATCACAGTTATCCACCTCTTCCAGGCCCAGGAAGGCTAAGGTGAATTTCACTATGCGGAGCATCAAATCCGGGACCTCCCACAATTCGTTATATTTCTCATTAATTCTCATTATACTCTTTTATGCCATTTCTATTAAACTAGCATCAAATTATTTATGTCACTCCACTTAATTTATATAACTCACGCCAGATGGCTTATACACTCCAAACTCTTGGTATTATTAGTCGGGTTGCTGGAATAAAACCACGCTGGCTCTTTCTCCATCCCTCTCTCGTGGATTACTCTAGAACCTTCCCTAGCCATCCTCTCACCAGTATTCCTTTTTTTTTTAGTATTCCTCTCTCTCTCTCTCTCTCTCTCTCTCTCTCTCTCTCTCTCTCTCTCTCTCTCTCGATGAAAAAGGAATTGGGGTTTTGCGATTGTGTATGGTTGTTGGGAATGGGGATTGGGTGGTGGAATAAGTTGGACTTAGGGCTAATAGATGAAGAGGCCCTCGACCTACATTTGCATATGCTTATGACGAACATCCATGGCCGCAGCGGCTGTGTCTGGATCAGAGGTGGTGGTTTCTGGTATTTTGCCTATCAATTCAACGGGCTCTAAAACCAAATTTGATTTTAAATAATGGAACTTGGTGCCATTAAATGTTCTTCAATCTCTTTTTGATGAAGTAGATGAACATCACAATCTTTGATTCTTTGTGCAACAGCAACTTTCATTAATAGGAGGAAGAAGTACAAACAAAAACAAGCCATAGATGAACTGAGTTTTTTTTTTTAATTGAGAACAAGTATGATCAATTCTCTTTAATTTGTTTATTCTCTTAAAAAATAGACAATAATTTTCTTTTACTGAAAAAATCAAGTTTTTAATCTGATACTTCACCAAACGTATCATTAAGTAATCATGTCGAGGGTTAGACTCATTTCAATGTAACAAAAAAACAAAATTCATCAAGTTGAAGTTTTTAGTCCAAGTGGTTTGAAGGAATCGAAGTCCGTATTTCTTAACATACATGAATGTGATTCAAACTCAATTTCATAGGTTAGAACAGTTTAAATTTTAGAATATCGCATTGTAAAAGAAATATAAAAAAAAACAAGTGGCCTTTCGTTCATATTTCATGACCAGCCGCAGCAACACACCAAAGGAACAAAATTAAGAAAGAGCAAAGCGTATGTAAAAGTAAAACTTTGTCATATATATATTGATTAATCAGCTGCTCTCAATTGTTAATCACACTTAAACAATAATGATTTCAAGAACTACTTGATGGTGAGAGGGTTACATTTAAGTACATGAGCTTTTTTCCTTTCTTAATACTAATGAATCCTTGAAATAATAATTAATTCAAACATGGAGATTAACCTTATGGAGGATGGAAACTAGCTTAGCAGGAGTTAATGGTTTCTCTTGGTAATCATCTAAGCCTGCCTCTATAAATTCTCGCGTGTCTTCACTGAGAGACGAATGCGACGAAACACCTGCAATCGTACTTCGAATTCCCATCGCACGCAGCATCCTCGTTGCCTATAATTCAAAAGCAAAAACAAAACAAACAAAAAAATCAGTAGCATTAACAGGTAAATTTAGAATAAACTTTCCACGATTTTATGTCTTTATTTACATGAAAAAAAAGATAAGAAATTTACCTCAATGCCATTCATGACAGGCATGTCCATGTCCATGAGAATAAGGTCAAAATGTTTCCCAGAGCAGTGGACATCAATGGCTTCTTTCCCGTTCCCTACAACCTGGTTTTCTATGCCAAAGTTTTCCAGTAGTTTGTGGTGAATTCTTTGGTTGACTATGTTATCGTCTACAACAAGCGCCATCATCTTCGTGGTTGCATTTTTGCTCTTCAACATTTTTGTTCTTTCAAACTTGTGTTTTCCAACAGTTTGTGGTGAATTGTTTGGTTTCCTGTATAACACAGCAGCAGATAATGTTAAAAATATGCGTTAATTAATAGCTTAATATACGAAATCAAAAAAAAAAAAAATTGTGTATATATAGAAAGGAAAGCAGGCTTGCCTTCGAAATTTCCTTAGCAAAAGGAACCAAAACAAAAGACCAATATTTTCAGCATTAATATGCACAAGAGTGGTTAATCTTAGGAGGTCAGATACAATTTGGAGCCTTGAAATATTCAAATTATTTCCTATCATGAGTTCTTTCACAGGTGTAATTCAGTAATTGTATGCTATTAATAATTATTTTTCAACTTGCAAAAATTGGTTGAAACTGCATTCTTGTTTATTACAAGTAGTATTACCACACTAAGGGGGGAGGGAGGAAAATTTAAACTCGGACGCAGTAAATTAAAAAAGAACGCCCTATCAACCAGGGCAATCCGCCAAAAGACTTTACATTGTTTTCTAAGTCAAGTGCTAATTAAGCCAAAGAAAAGCCAGAAAAAATTGTCTAAGACAAGGATTTAGTAGGTACCTTAAGATAAAGCTGAGATTTCTGCAAGAGATGTAAGAATGGTGAGACTTCTGCTATGATTGTGAGGCAGAAGATAACGCAAAAAGCTGGTTTTTTCTACTGTTGTTCCATGGTGCAATTTCAATCTTTTTATAAAAAAAACAGCCGCGGAAACTGGAGAAAAAGGATCCTCTACTAAAAACCAAAAAAAAAAAAAAAAAAGGGAAAAAGGATGAAAGTGGCCATGTGGGGATACACAGAGTATCACTTGGATTTAGTTGAAAATCTCAAAAATCTAAAATGGTGATTCTTTCCTTAATTGTTGATATGCATAAATCAGACGCTTCTACCTTCTTTCAGGACATCTTTGCATCATTTGAATTATGTGTATGACAGCAAGGTAAAAAGACAGAAGATTGTTGTATACTTATTGGAGATGTGAGTTAGGTCGGTTGATAAGTTTAAAGGTTAGTATTGTTCGTTCTCTTACACTCAAGTTCGAATCTTCATCTTCATAAATTAGATCATAGTGATTTAGATTTTAGAATATCTTGCGTTGTAGCATTTAATAGCCCCAAATTTGCTTTTCGTATAATTTAGTAAACCAAATCAGGAAGTACAAAGATATTACCATTGCCATGTGATCCAACACGGCATTCAACTTTCATACTTTGAAATTTTACCTTTTTTGGTTTTCACTTCTTTAGGAATCATATCAGCTTCTCGACTGGAAAATGAGTCTGAAAAGCCATTGTCAATATATATTCGTAATCAAGAATATCGTTTCTTAAGCTGCAGGTTTACTATGAGATCTATTTTCTTTTCTTACAACAAGATTCGAATTCAAGACTTATCGTTTTTTACCTATTTTTCCTAGTACACTAACTAGCTTTTAGTTTTTAATTGTATTTCTTCACCTATTTTTAAACAAATTGTTTTACGTGAGATAGATAACGTATCATTTTACGTTACACATCAAAATATTTAGGGTAAATACAAATTAAGTGTGAGTGAAACATGATGCGTTTACCCTTTGAATGTAAGCGAAACACGTGACACATAGTGTAAGTAGAACACGTGACCAGTGTGTTTACTACATAATAACGCTCTGAGTGTGAGTGAAATGCGTGATGTGTTTACGCTCCGTGTGCAAGTGCAACACGTAATAAGTCATGTAGATAGCAACGTTACAAGTACAAAAGAAATTCGTAGGGGCTTACATTTTCTATATTCCTAGTAAAAATAGCAGTGCTAGTAGTTTCTCATCTTTGCTGTTTTGGTTGACAAACTTTGCGAAAAGACATGCACAACTCTGCCTGATCATTATGTGACATAAATGGTGATGGTTATATGTCACTGTAATTGGACTAAATATATATTGATGCCATAAACCATTTGTTGTTTGGCATGACAAAATTTAAAAGAAAAAAGGCGCTCACAACTCCATCAGGTCATTAGGCGTCTGAAAATGTGTAAAAAAAAAAATAAAAAAATAAAAAAAAAAGCTGATATGCCCTTGATCAATTATGAGAAATTTTTTCCATCACCAGCTTATATGCAATCACCGATAAGAAAAAACAAAATGCGTAGTCTTATACAATCAATGATAGACAAAATTATCTCGTGTATTCAGCAATAGAACCGCACCACATGGGGGCTTAAAAAGGAAAGAAATAGACTATTCATTCTATAGGCACAAAATACACTGAACAAAAATATTTTTGGAGAATTTGACGTGATTGTGTGAAAGTCTAGTAGATGAAGTTATTTTTAATGATGGTCCCAAATATGATTCTAAAATGTCAATACACAGCTGTGCCTTTAGCATTTTCAACTTTTCACCACCAATATATACATGCTTGGATCATATCTTGTTTTGGGGTTGTAGGCACACTGGTAGAGTGAGTTTCTTGTGTATTTCATTTAAGAGGCCAACATACAATTTTGGCACTCTTTGTGTTTTTATATCCAAGGGGCAATCTCAATCAGATAATATAAAAATAATTCGGTGGATTGTTATGAATCTAGAGACCAAAGAATAGTTTTCATGTTGTGATTATCCTTGTTATTTTAAAGAGGCCAACATACATGTTGTCAAGTTTTGTCAAGATTTCCTCGGTGTTATTTTTCATGGACAAATTTTGTCAATATTTCATAGACGGACAGTGGTGAATTTATGATTCGCCTTGTGGGGTCTCTGTGTTAGAGATCTAAGTTTTTTAGATAGAAACAAAGCACGAAGGGCGCAAAAAAAAAAACATATTGACTGAGGCATTTCGCGAACACTTGATGGGCTTGTTGTCGTCACCTTAACTAAGTTGCACACGTGTCAAACGATATTGACATATGTCGGAGCAATCTGACAAGTGTTTTGTCCATGTAACCTGCAAGAGGCATAGTGTCAAACATACAAAAAGAATCTTCAAAGGACTTCACTTATACTTTTCTCAAACTCCAAGTGATCTTGGGACCACCTTGGTCCCAATGTACATCTGCCACTATAGATGGATTTGCCACCTATTAATCAACACTGATATTGTCGTAAAATTACATTTATTAACCTCGTGCTAGTTACATGTATGGCGTTCTATCACAAAAAAATACAGCGTTATTAGTATTGAAACCATTCATTATATATCATATTTCCTATTAACAAGTTTTGGACGCATGCATTTTTTTACTTTATTCAACAAATTATTTCACACCAAACGTAAGAGTTCAGAGAATAGAAGAATAAAATAAAAATACTTGTACATAGTTTGGAGAACTTCTTCTCAACATATTATTAGTACTGCTATATATATATATATATGATTAACTTTAAGAAATTTCGCGGAGGACTGCCATTGATGACCCAGAATAATAAGCTCATTGAACTAAAAACCCGAAAGGGAAGGTCAAGTAAAATTTAGACGTCCAACAACATGTTAAATCATAATAGCACGTTAAACATCATAACATAAGAACCAAGGAGGTTGAAAAAAGGATTAATCTTTCCTCATGAACTCAATTGCACATACTTAGTAATCATAAATCTAGTTAAGAAAACATATCCCTTCCAAGTCCAAATTAAAGAGAAACGCGTTCGTTCATGGAGATTCCTTTGTAGGGGTGTTCGGTTTTGGATGGTGGTTGTGTAATGCAAATTAGGTCACAGGTACATTACCGATAACAACATCCTCGAGGAGAAGAGGACTAAGAAGGTGGGGATAAACCAGTAGATTAAATGTAGTCCTGAGATTGCTCCGTGGCCGGGTTTCGTCACTTTGATCAGTGACCAGACGTATATCCCCACGAGTGAAGCGCTCAAGATCGAGATGAATAAGGTGTAGGGATGAAGAAGAAGATCGTTTTGAATAGTCCTGTGACAAACTTCATGCTTATTTATTCCTGTGGGAACCTGTTGAGTATTTCTGTGAGAAACGACATGTTCAATGAGTAGTGTGAGATTTTTTTTTTTTTTTTTAATTTTATTTGTCGAAATGAGTAGTATGAGTTTGGTCGAGGATTTCATTTAATTTTTTTCAAGAATTCAAACTCAATAGTACATTGTAGATTTGGTATGAGAAAACTATGAAATATATAGGCTCACACAAAACCCTAATTTATAAGGGAGAACTAATAAAACGTCCTTCAAAAATGTCCTTAAGCAACTTTTCTATTATTAATGATACCCTCATGAAAATGCAACTTCCTTCATTGTTTAGTACAAAAATGTCCTTAATAATAAAGAAAGTGTCCTTAGTAATTAAAAAAAAGGTAATGTTAGGGTGATCAAATTTTTAAATCAAATTATGTGGATGAAGATTAATGTGGTTATTTTCTGTTCGTGACATATCATTTGGTTTGCAATTTTAGTTTAAAATTTTGGTTTCCCTAGCATTATTCATAAATAAATGTGCTCTTAATGATAAAAAAAAATTGCCTAAGAATTTTTGAATAAAAAAGGGTTTTACGAACAACATTTTATTAATTTTCTAAATTTATAATGATTTCTTGTGCATTAAGGACCTTGTCTTTCCTCAGATCCAAAACCAAACCCTAGTTATCTCGCCTTGCAATCTCTTCCCCTTTATAAGGATTTAATGATTCTTTTCCTCGGACAAATTTTTTAATATATTATATTATGTTTTTAATTAGGAGATTATTATTAGTACTCTAAAAATCTCATTATGTATCCTCATAAGTGCATTTTTCTTTTTAAATATAAAAAAATTGAAGTACAAAGTGAGATTTTTTGAGTCTCAGTATCGAATCGCTTCAATTAAAGAAGAAAACCAAAATGGTATAATATGTCAAATAGATATATCGCTTTCCCTTTCTTTCCCCACAAGCCATCGCAGCGGCGCAGAAAAAACCAGTAGGGGGGCTTTATTCATGTGAAAAAGAGACGTGGGGAGGACGTAGTACCGTTGCCCAATTACAATCATCCAAAAGAGCGTCCTGAATAATATTAGGCGCTCGACCTTCAAACCGGAAGAGGATTCTGAGCTCAGGATGAGAATCCTCCTGATCACGAAATCCAGACCGTTCAAATTTAATTCAACGGTTACAATTATTATAACTTTTAGAGAGCTTCCTGTTTGGAGCCGTTGGATTAAATTTGAACGGCCCGGATTTTGAGATCAGGAGGATCCCCATCCTGAGCTCAAGAGAGGATCCTCTTCCCTTCAAACCACTCCAAACACACTTCATTAGTTAAACTGTTGCTGCCAGTTAGAGCTGTTATTAGCATTTCGAAAAAATTCATCATACAATTATTAGCACTTTAAAAAATTATCATGCACCGCATCCCAAATGTGTGAAATGTGGTACCGTTTGGTACGTGGGACGAGACATAATGAAGTGGGACGAAGCGTTCCATCCCACGTTTGGTGCGCCTAAAACGGGTGGAATACGCTATTCCACAGGATAAGTTTTGGGTGATTTTTCGTTTCGTCTTCCCCCTGAAACGACTTGTCCCACCTCTGTGGGACACAAATTTATAACATTTTAAGACAAAAATACCCCTTGTCTTTTTCAAAAATTTTTACAAAACATCATCATAAATCATACAATCAAAACCACTAACTATCATCCTTGCAATCATGGTTTCTGAATGTCCTGGCCTGTGAAACGATTCTTCAATGCTGTTGCATCTCTTTTCCATTCGCAACCTCTGCACAACAAAATTCAGTCA